AAAAAAAAAATGATTGGGTTTCACAGAGCAATGAAAAACGGAAGAAAAAAGTTGTCCTTCGTTTTCCTCTTACACTTTTTTAAACCCATAAATCAGGAATACATAAAAAATTGCGATTAGTTGCAGTCAATTATTCCGCTCAATGGCGTCATTTAAGGGTGAAAAGAGGGAAGGATTCTTTATCGTTTTAAAAAAAAAAGAATAAGTGGACAAGAAAAACAACTTTTTTCTCAACTTGAAGAGAAGAATAGGGACAAACTTCTAAAAATTTCTGGTTTTTAGTCGCGCCCACATTTTTACTCCTTGAGAATTAACATCTTTTTGACAGAATGGCGTTGAGGACTACAATGCCGACTTAGCGAGATTAGTTTGTCATCAAAATTTTATGATAAGAAAACAAACCGTGAGAAGGTTAAAGCCTTTTTCTCTTCCGGCTTAAAAAAATAAAGCTTAGTGCTTTATAACGGCAATGTTTGTTCGATCGACGGTTTTACCATATCATAGTGTTTCTGCTACCGCTGGTACAGCAATAGTGTTCGACAAAAATTTTACGGAATAAAAAAATCTTTAGCTATGCGATGTAAACGAAAAAAACTTCCTATTTTTTAAGATATTATTAGAAATTTAATTCTATTTATGATGACGTTTCTTACAAAACGTTACAGCTGATTTTCAAACCATTGGTGGGATTTTGGGAAATTAAAAACATACATCTTCTTTTCGTCCCCTCATTTTTTCACCTCGCTTTTTTTCTTGACTATTCTTCCCAAATAGACTCAGTTTAACATTAAGTAAAAAAAGAGCAACGTAATAGCAACGTAATAGCAACGTAATGAGTGCAAAAGTTATCAATACTGGTTGTTTCGTTATCCTAAGAAACTTATGAGATTAAAAGGATATTACGAAACGAAAAATTGTATTGTCTGCTCCTAACAGCTACTTCCTGTTGTTTTTCAACAAGAAAATTATTCTATATAGTGGTAGCTAAAAAGAAGAGCGGAGATTGTCGTAGCCTCTATATATTTCAAATTCTTCACAAAGCTTTCAAGCAAAAAATTTCTGCTTGAAACTCAGATGCCGTTTTTTTTGTAATCCAAATTTTTCAAAAACATTTTTCCTGACCAGTTAGGGCATTGTTTCCTCGTTTTGTGGACAAAAAATGGAAAAAAACTTTGTAGGAAATTGGCTGATGCAAAAAAACGCGGTGGAGCACGAGCATTCGGACCGCTTCGACATGGCGGTGAGGGGTATTTTTATCCTGAAATGAAGCGTTACAACAGCTTTGGATCACCCTACTATTTATACCAACAACCAAAACGTGGTGGTGGACGAGCATTTGCATCGTATTACAAGCCCTCAAATTTTGGTGAAGGAAGGTCAGCTACTTATGTTGTATTGCAGCAAATGCTAACAAAAATTGTGTGCTACTTTTATTGCAAAACTCCACATGTTTGATCATCGAATCTATAAGAAATTGTTGCAAGCCAACGAAACGATATCATAAACATCAAAAAAGTGGGAGTTTTTGAACTGGCTGCTAATCTCAGAGGACAGTTGCCTTCATGAACACTTAGTGTTGATAAATTAGTTGCAAATCCGCAAGAAAAAAAACAGTTTGGGTAGCCATAAACTTTGTTTTGAAAAAGGCTAGCGAAAAAGTCTATCCTTTGTATTGTCGAATACCGGCGACGTCAGAATCGTGATTGCATTAGTTGCCAAGAATCTTTTGAATTTTTACAACCTCCTGAGCGCTGCTGGCTGTTCATTAAACTATTATTCGCCGTCAAACAGTTTTCATGATTGTTTAACCGTTCAGTATTTTCATTTGTAATTTTTAGTCAAAATTTTTTTATCTACTTAATTAGTAATATTCGTTTCCATGGCAAATTTACCGTGGCAACAAAAGTTACTACTTAATAAATTGGATGGTTACATATTTTAGCTTCACATAGAAAACCAAAAATTTTAACTTTAACTGGATGTATAACAATCAAAAGTATCGTAGTAAATGGGGTAAAATTGAGTGAAAAAATTAGGAATATCATTGTTATTTTTGTTACTACTGGTTTTGAACAAAAAGCCAAATCTCTTTCTTCACAAAAAAAAAAACCAGATAAACAGAATTTTCATCATAATTGAACGACTCATTTATCAAATAATTGAAACTCTTTCAATGCCAAAAACAACAGCAATTTTAATATGATTGTTGAGTATTAGGAGAAGAATGAAAAAAAAAATGATGAGGATGGGAAAGAACACATAGAAAGGAAAGGGGAAAACGATTACCGTATCACCAGAAAGCTGAAAAGCTGTTAGGTGGTAAATAAATGTTAATGCTAAAAGGTGACAGTCTCATAGTTCCGGAAACTGTTATTCTGTTATGGGTTAATCTGTTTGCCCCTTAATTTGTAGACAGCTCAAAAAAAAAAAAAAAAATGAAAAAAAAAAGTTTTGGCAAAAAAAATTTTAGCTATTACGTGGTAACTTTTAGGGATGATGATGGACAGTATTTCAAAAAGCGAGCATTAATGAAAGACATTTACAGTGATTACGCATACTGATATCGGGGGAATGGAAGTGTTTAGCCGACATCTGATGGCTAAATTGGTGGAAAGTAATCCGAGTAAATCTGACAACAAAATCAACAATTTCATACATACATTCCTGTGTTTTCTACACTTTATTCATCTATCGGTACTCTGGTTACAGTTATTTGAATTAATATACAAAAAAGCAATTGTTTTTTTTTTCTATTTTGAAATGTTGTACTGTTTATCTGATTTTAGTTTCTGTTAATTTTTTTTTTGCTGTAGAAAAGTGTCATCTTTCTGTATTATTCAACTTTTTTCATTCTTCTCACTTTTTTTTTTTATTTCTTCTGTATTACTCCATTGTATTTAATGAAACAAAAAAGACAAAGAAATTTTTTTTTTTTGCTTTTTTTTCACAACTTTTTCATGTTTATTTTTTTACTTTTTTTTTATTTTTTTTTTTGATATTTGCTGTCTACCGTCAAACCGTTATTTGATGATAAACACCGCGTTTCTAGTAAATAATTTTTCTTGTTGATATCTGTTGATATGCACAAAAAAAAAGGAGAGAAGAAACACAACAGAATTATGCAGGAAAATCTGAATAAACAGTTTAGTTTTTAGTGCTCTGAAGAAGTTTAGGGAAAAGTTTTAATTTGATTTTAGCTTATAATACGCAAAAGATTTCCAAATCTGATGGCTACAGACAGCAGAAAAAACTGCCATCAAAACGACGACTACAGCTGTACACTGTACAGTTGTTTATACGGTACAACAATGGGATATCAAAGTTTCAATTTACTGACTTCAAAATGAGGCAAAGAAGAATTAAATAATTTACATATTTGCTAAGAAAAAAAAAA